CGTCTGGTTTAGCTAGGACCTTTTCGTCTTTCTTCTCAGGCGACTTTGGTTTTTCTTCATGATGAATGGGAGACTTATCCCCACTACCTGTTACAGCAGTTACCAAACACTGGCTATCAGGCTTATCGTGAGGCTTGGTAATTCCAAACTCTTCATCACTTTCATCGTCCGAATACTCTTTTAAAATAGGCTTCACTGACTCTCTTGGTGACTTTGTTTTGTCACCTAATGAGGTTGGGCTCTTATCGTCTTTCAAGTTTGAAAGCGAATCAATCGGTATAACTATCTTGGTATCTTCTGTTGTTATACTTGTACTTGTGAACATTATATTTTTTTGAATTGTTGAACTTTCTTCTGCCTTGAAGGAAATAACTTCTTTGGGCTTAACGTCATGGATACTAGTGAAGGGTGTTCCTAATGGAGTTGGTTGACTAAAAGGCTTGTCTTGGGGCTTAGGAATCTCAATTTTGGAATCACCTTCATTGGCCGAATATTCTTTGGGACTAGGCTGAACAGTCTCAATGACTGACTTTGAACTATCGTCGGGTTTAGCTAGGACCTTTTCGTCTTTCTTCTCAGGTGACTTCGGTTTTTCCTCAGATTGAAGTTGAGATTTTACTTCAGCACCTATAACGCTAGTTACGAAAGAAGTTGGGTGGCTAATAGGTTTGTCTTGGGGCTTGTCCGAATATTCTTTGGGACTGGGCTTAACAGTCTCAATGACTGACTTGGAACTATCGTCTGGCTTAGCTAGGACCTTTTCGTCTTTCTTCTCAGGCGACTTTGTTTTTTCCTCAGATTGAAGTGGAGATTTACGCCCACCAACTGTAACACCAGATACGAAAGAAGTTGGGTGGCTAATAGGTTTGTCCTGGGGCTTGGGAATATCTATTTCGTCATCAGAGTCGTCGTCCGAATATTCTTTAGGACTGGGCTTAACATTCTCAATAACTGACTTTGAACTATCGTCTGGTTTAGCTAGGACCTTTTCATCTTTCTTCTCAGGCGACTTTGGTTTTTCCTCAGATTGAAGTGGAGATTTAACTCCAGCACCAGTAACATCAGTTACGAAAGAAGTTGGATGGCTAATAGGTTTGTCCTGAGGCTTGGGAATATCTATTTCGTCATCAGAGTCGTCGTCCGAATATTCTTTAGGACTGGGCTTAACAGTCTCAATGACTAACTTGGAACTGTCCTCTGGTTTAGCAAGGACCTTATCGTCTTTCTTCTCAGGCGACTGTGATTTTTCTGCAGTATTAAGAAGAGACTTATCCCCACTACCTGTTACAGAAGTTACCAATGAAGTTGGGTGACTAACCTGTTTGTCTTGGGGCTTGGGAATGTCCATTTCGTCATCAGAGTCTTCGTCCGAATATTCTTTGGGACTAGGCTGAACAGTCTCAATGACTGACATGGAATTGTCTTCTGGTTTAGCTAGGACCTTATCGTCTTTCTTTTCAGGCGACTTTGTTTTTTCTTCAGGATAAAGAGGGGCCTTATCCCCACTACCTAATACAGAAGTCACCAAAGAAGTTGTTTGGCTAATAGGCTTGTCTTGTGGCTGGGGAATATCTATTTTGTCATCAGAGTCTTCGTCCGAATATTCTTTGGGACTAGGCTGAACAGTCTCAATGACTGACTTGGAACTATCGTCTGGTTTAGCTAGGACCTTTTCGTCTTTCTTCTCAGGCGACTTTGGTTTTTCTTCATGATGAATGGGAGACTTATCCCCACCACCTGTTACAGCAGTTACTAAACACTGGCTATCAGGCTTATCGTGAGGCTTGGTAATTCCCAACTCTTCATCACTTTCATCGTCCGAATACTCTTTTAAAATAGGCTTCACTGACTCTCTTGGTGACTTTGTTTTGTCACCTAATGAGGTTGGGATCTTATCGTCTTTCAAGTTTGAAAGCGAATCAATCGGTATAACTATCTTGGTATCTTCTGTTGTTATACTTGTGCTTGCGAACATTATATTTTTTTGAATTGTTGTTGAACTTTCTTCTGCCTTGAAGGATATAACTTCTTTGGGCTTAACGTCATGGATACTAGTGAAGGGTGTCACTAATGGAGTTGGTTGACTAAAAGGCTTGTCTTGTGGCTTAGGAATCTCAATTTTGGAATCACCTTCATTGGCCGAATATTCTTTGGGACTGGGCTTAACTGTCTCAATAACTGACTTTGAACTATCGTCGGGTTTAGCTAGGACCTTTTCGTCTTTCTTCTCAGGTGACTTCGGTTTTTCCTCAGATTGAAGTGGAGATTTTACTTCAGCACCTATAACGCTAGTTACGAAAGAAGTTGGGTGGCTAATAGGTTTGTCTTGGGGCTTGTCCGAATATTCTTTGGGACTGGGCTTAACAGTCTCAATGACTGACTTGGAACTATCGTCTGGCTTAGCTAGGACCTTTTCGTCTTTCTTCTCAGGCGACTTTGTTTTTTCCTCAGATTGAAGTGGAGATTTACGCCCACCAACTGTAACGCCAGATACGAAAGAAGTTGGGTGGCTAATAGGTTTGTCATGGGGCTTGGGAATATCTATTTCGTCATCAGAGTCGTCGTCCGAATATTCTTTAGGACTGGGCTTAACAGTCTCAATGACTGACTTTGAACTATCGTCTGGTTTAGCTAGGACCTTTTCATCTTTCTTCTCAGGCGACTTTGTTTTTTCCTCAGATTGAAGTGGAGATTTACGCCCACCAACTGTAACGCCAGATACGAAAGAAGTTGGGTGGCTAATAGGTTTGTCCTGAGGCTTGGGAATATCTATTTCGTCATCAGAGTCGTCGTCCGAATATTCTTTAGGACTGGGCTTAACAGTCTCAATGACTAACTTGGAACTGTCCTCTGGTTTAGCAAGGACCTTATCGTCTTTCTTCTCAGGCGACTGTGATTTTTCTGCAGTATTAAGAAGAGACTTATCCCCACTACCTGTTACAGAAGTTACCAATGAAGTTGGGTGACTAACCTGTTTGTCTTGGGGCTTGGGAATGTCCATTTCGTCATCAGAGTCTTCGTCCGAATATTCTTTGGGACTAGGCTGAACAGTCTCAATGACTGACTTGGAACTGTCTTCTGGTTTAGCTAGGACCTTATCGTCTTTCTTTTCAGGCGACTTTGTTTTTTCTTCAGGATAAAGAGGGGCCTTATCCCCACTACCTAATACAGAAGTCACCAAAGAAGTTGGTTGGCTAATAGGCTTGTCTTGTGGCTGGGGAATATTTATTTCGTCATCAGAGTCTTCGTCCGAATATTCTTTGGGACTAGGCTGAACAGTCTCAATGACTGACTTGGAACTATCGTCTGGTTTAGCTAGGACCTTTTCGTCTTTCTTCTCAGGCGACTTTGGTTTTTCTTCATGATGAATGGGAGACTTATCCCCACTACCTGTTACAGCAGTTACCAAACACTGGCTATCAGGCTTATCGTGAGGCTTGGTAATTCCCAACTCTTCATCACTTTCATCGTCCGAATACTCTTTTAAAATAGGCTTCACTGACTCTCTTGGTGACTTTGTTTTGTCACCTAATGAGGTTGGGCTCTTATCGTCTTTCAAGTTTGAAAGCGAATCAATCGGTATAACTATCTTGGTATCTTCTGTTGTTATACTTGTGCTTGCGAACATTATATTTTTTTGAATTGTTGTTGAACTTTCTTCTGCCTTGAAGGATATAACTTCTTTGGGCTTAACGTCATGGATACTAGTGAAGGGTGTCACTAATGGAGTTGGTTGACTAAAAGGCTTGTCTTGTGGCTTAGGAATCTCAATTTTGGAATCACCTTCATTGGCCGAATATTCTTTGGGACTGGGCTTAACAGTCTCAATAACTGACTTTGAACTATCGTCGGGTTTAGCTAGGACCTTTTCGTCTTTCTTCTCAGGTGACTTCGGTTTTTCCTCAGATTGAAGTGGAGATTTTACTTCAGCACCTATAACGCTAGTTACGAAAGAAGTTGGGTGGCTAATAGGTTTGTCTTGGGGCTTGTCCGAATATTCTTTGGGACTGGGCTTAACAGTCTCAATGACTGACTTGGAACTATCGTCTGGCTTAGCTAGGACCTTTTCGTCTTTCTTCTCAGGCGACTTTGTTTTTTCCTCAGATTGAAGTGGAGATTTACGCCCACCAACTGTAACACCAGATACGAAAGAAGTTGGGTGGCTAATAGGTTTGTCCTGGGGCTTGGGAATATCTATTTCGTCATCAGAGTCGTCGTCCGAATATTCTTTAGGACTGGGCTTAACAGTCTCAATGACTGACTTTGAACTATCGTCTGGTTTAGCTAGGACCTTTTCATCTTTCTTCTCAGGCGACTTTGTTTTTTCCTCAGATTGAAGTGGAGATTTACGCCCACCAACTGTAACGCCAGATACGAAAGAAGTTGGGTGGCTAATAGGTTTGTCCTGAGGCTTGGGAATATCTATTTCGTCATCAGAGTCGTCGTCCGAATATTCTTTAGGACTGGGCTTAACAGTCTCAATGACTAACTTGGAACTGTCCTCTGGTTTAGCAAGGACCTTATCGTCTTTCTTCTCAGGCGACTGTGATTTTTCTGCAGTATTAAGAAGAGACTTATCCCCACTACCTGTTACAGAAGTTACCAATGAAGTTGGGTGACTAACCTGTTTGTCTTGGGGCTTGGGAATGTCCATTTCGTCATCAGAGTCTTCGTCCGAATATTCTTTGGGACTAGGCTGAACAGTCTCAATGACTGACTTGGAACTGTCTTCTGGTTTAGCTAGGACCTTATCGTCTTTCTTTTCAGGCGACTTTGTTTTTTCTTCAGGATAAAGAGGGGCCTTATCCCCACTACCTAATACAGAAGTCACCAAAGAAGTTGGTTGGCTAATAGGCTTGTCTTGTGGCTGGGGAATATCTATTTCGTCATCAGAGTCTTCGTCCGAATATTCTTTGGGACTAGGCTGAACAGTCTCAATGACTGACTTGGAACTATCGTCTGGTTTAGCTAGGTCCTTTTCGTCTTTCTTCTCAAGCGACTTTGGTTTTTCTTCATGATGAATGGGAGACTTATCCCCACTACCTGTTACAGCAGTTACCAAACACTGGCTATCAGGCTTATCGTGAGGCTTGGTAATTCCCAACTCTTCATCACTTTCATCGTCCGAATACTCTTTTAAAATAGGCTTCACTGACTCTCTTGGTGACTTTGTTTTGTCACCTAATGAGGTTGGGATCTTATCGTCTTTCAAGTTTGAAAGCGAATCAATCGGTATAACTATCTTGGTATCTTCTGTTGTTATACTTGTGCTTGCGAACATTATATTTTTTTGAATTGTTGTTGAACTTTCTTCTGCCTTGAAGGATATAACTTCTTTGGGCTTAACGTCATGGATACTAGTGAAGGGTGTCACTAATGGAGTTGGTTGACTAAAAGGCTTGTCTTGTGGCTTAGGAATCTCAATTTTGGAATCACCTTCATTGGCCGAATATTCTTTGGGACTGGGCTTAACAGTCTCAATAACTGACTTTGAACTATCGTCGGGTTTAGCTAGGACCTTTTCGTCTTTCTTCTCAGGTGACTTCGGTTTTTCCTCAGATTGAAGTGGAGATTTTACTTCAGCACCTATAACGCTAGTTACGAAAGAAGTTGGGTGGCTAATAGGTTTGTCTTGGGGCTTGTCCGAATATTCTTTGGGACTAGGCTGAACAGTCTCAATGACTGACTTGGAACTGTCTTCTGGTTTAGCTAGGACCTTATCGTCTTTCTTTTCAGGCGACTTTGTTTTTTCTTCAGGATAAAGAGGGGCCTTATCCCCACTACCTAATACAGAAGTCACCAAAGAAGTTGGTTGGCTAATAGGCTTGTCTTGTGGCTGGGGAATATCCATTTCGTCATCAGAGTCTTCGTCCGAATATTCTTCGGGACTAGGCTGAACAGTCTCAATGACTGACTTGGAACTATCGTCTGGTTTAGCTAGGACCTTTTCGTCTTTCTTCTCAGGCGACTTTGTTTTTTCTTCAGGATAAAGAGGAGCCTTATCCCCACTACCTGTTACAGCAGTTACCAAAGATATTGGGTAGCTATCAGGCTTATCGTGAGGCTTGGTAATTCCCAACTCTTCATCACTTTCATCGTCCGAATACTCTTTTAAAATAGGCTTCACTGACTCTCTTGGTGACTTTGTTTTGTCACCTAATGAGGTTGGGATCTTATCGTCTTTCAAGTTTGAAAGCGAATCAATCGGTATAACTATCTTGGTATCTTCTGTTGTTATACTTGTACTTGTGAACATTATATTTTTTTGAATTGTTGTTGAACTTTCTTCTGCCTTGAAGGAAATAACTTCTTTGGGCTTAACGTCATGGATACTAGTGAAGGGTGTCCCTAATGGAGTTGGTTGACTAAAAGGCTTGTCTTGGGGCTTAGGAATCTCAATTTTGGAATCACCTTCATTGGCCGAATATTCTTTGGGACTGGGCTTAACAGTCTCAATGACTGACTTGGAACTATCGTCTGGCTTAGCTAGGACCTTTTCGTCTTTCTTCTCAGGCGACTTTGTTTTTTCCTCAGATTGAAGTGGAGATTTACGCCCACCAACTGTAACACCAGATACGAATGAAGTTGGGTGGCTAATAGGTTTGTCCTGGGGCTTGGGAATATCTATTTCGTCATCAGAGTCGTCGTCCGAATATTCTTTGGGACTGGGCTTAACAGTCTCAATAACTGACTTTGAACTATCGTCGGGTTTAGCTAGGACCTTTTCGTCTTTCTTCTCAGGCGACTTCGGTTTTTCCTCAGATTGAAGTGGAGATTTTACTTCAGCACCTGTAACATCAGTTACGAAAGAAGTTGGGTGGCTAATAGGTTTGTCCTGAGGCTTGGGGATATCTATTTCGTCATCAGAGTCTTCGTCCGAATATTCTTTAGGACTGGGCTTAACAGTCTCAATGACTAACTTGGAACTGTCCTCTGGTTTAGCAAGGACCTTATCGTCTTTCTTCTCAGGCGACTGTAATTTTTCTGCAGTATGAAGAAGAGACTTATCCCCACTACCTGTTACAGAAGTTACCAATGAAGTTGGGTGACTAACCTGTTTGTCTTGGGGCTTGGGAATGTCCATTTCGTCATCAGAGTCTTCGTCCGAATATTCTTTGGGACTAGGCTGAACAGTCTCAATGACTGACTTGGAACTGTCTTCTGGTTTAGCTAGGACCTTATCGTCTTTCTTCTCAGGCGACTTTGTTTTTTCTTCAGGATAAAGAGGGGCCTTATCCCCACTACCTAATACAGAAGTCACCAAAGAAGTTGGTTGGCTAATAGGCTTGTCTTGTGGCTGGGGAATATCTATTTCGTCATCAGAGTCTTCGTCCGAATATTCTTTGGGAGTAGGCTGAACAGTCTCAATGACTGACTTGGAACTATCGTCTGGTTTAGCTAGGACCTTTTCGTCTTTCTTCTCAGGCGACTTTTGTTTTTCTACATGATGAATGGGAGACTTATCCCCACTACCTGTTACAGCAGTTACCAAAGATATTGGGTAGCTATCAGGCTTATCGTGAGGCTTGGTAATTCCAAACTCTTCATCACTTTCATCGTCCGAATACTCTTTTAAAATAGGCTTCACTGACTCTCTTGGTGACTTTGTTTTGTCACCTAATGAGGTTGGGATCTTATCGTCTTTCAAGTTTGAAAGCGAATCAATCGGTATAACTATCTTGGTATCTTCTGTTGTTATACTTGTACTTGTGAACATTATATTTTTTTGAATTGTTGTTGAACTTTCTTCTGCCTTGAAGGAAATAACTTCTTTGGGCTTAACGTCATGGATACTAGTGAAGGGTGTCCCTAATGGAGTTGGTTGACTAAAAGGCTTGTCTTGGGGCTTAGGAATCTCAATTTTGGAATCACCTTCATTGGCCGAATATTCTTTGGGACTGGGCTTAACAGTCTCAATGACTGACTTGGAACTATCGTCTGGCTTAGCTAGGACCTTTTCGTCTTTCTTCTCAGGCGACTTTGGTTTTTCCTCAGATTGAAGTGGAGATTTAACTCCAGCACCTGTAACACCAGTTACGAAAGAAGTTGGGTGGCTAATAGGTTTGTCCTGGGGCTTGGGAATATCAATTTCGTCATCAAAGTCGTCGTCGGAATATTCTTTGGTACTGGGCTTAACAGTCTCAATGACTGACTTGGAACTGTCGTCTGGTTTAGCTAGGACCTTTTCGTCTTTTTTCTCAGGTGACTTTGGTTTTTCCTCAGATTGAAGTGGAGATTTAACTTCAGCACCTGTAACACCAGTTACGAAAGAAGTTGGGTGGCTAATAGGTTTGTCCTGAGGCTTGGGAATATCTATTTCGTCATCAGAGTCGTCGTCCGAATATTCTTTGGGACTGTGCTGTACAGTCTCAATGACGGACTTGAAACTATCGTCTGGTTTAGCTAGGACCTTTTCGTCTTTCTTCTCAGGCGACTTTGGTTTTTCCTCAGATTGAAGTGGAGATTTAACTCCAGCACCTGTAACACCAGTTACGAAAGAAGTTGGGTGGCTAATAGGTTTGTCCTGGGGCTTGGGAATATCAATTTCGTCATCAAAGTCGTCGTCGGAATATTCTTTGGGACTGGGCTTAACAGTCTCAATGACTGACTTGGAACTGTCGTCTGGTTTAGCTAGGACCTTATCGTCTTTCTTCTCAGGCGACTTTGGTTTTTCTTCAGGATAAAGAGGAGCCTTATCCCCACTACCTGATACAGAAGTTAGCAAAGATATTGGGTGGCTATCAGGCTTATCGTGAGGCTTGGGAATTCCAAACTCCTCATCTTTTTTATCGTCCGAATATTTTATTAAAATAGGCTTCACTGACTCCCTTGGTGACTTTGCTTTGTCATCTAATGAGGTTGGGATCTTATCGTCTTTCAAGTTTGAAAGCGAATCGCTCGGTATAACTACCTTGGTATTTTCTGTTGTTATACTAGTGCTTGCGAACTTCATATTTGTTTTAATTTTTGTTAAACTTTCTTCTGCCTTGAAGGATATAACTTCTTTGGGCTTAACGTCATGAATACTAGTGAAGGGTGTCACTAATGGTGTTGGCTCACTGAAAGACTTGTCTTGAGGCTTAGGAATCTCGATTTTGGCATCATTGTCCAAATATTCCTCTAGAGTGGGCTTAACAGTCTCAAGGACTGACTTGAAACTATCGTCTGGTTTAGCTAGGACCTTTTCGTCTTTCTTCTCAGGCGACTTTGTTTTTTCCTCAGATTGAAGTGGATATTTACGCCCACAAACTGTAACACCAGATACGAAAGAAGTTGGGTGGCTAATAGGTTTGTCCTGGGGCTTGGGAATATCTATTTCGTCATCAGAGTCGTCGTCCGAATCTTCTTTGGGACTGGGCTTAACAGTCTCAATAACTGACTTTGAACTATCGTCTGGTTTAGCTAGGACCTTTTCGTCTTTTTTCTCAGGTGACTTTGGTTTTTCCTCAGATTGAAGTGGAGATTTAACTTCAGCACCTGTAACACCAGTTACGAAAGAAGTTGGGTGGCTAATAGGTTTGTCCTGAGGCTTGGGAATATCTATTTCGTCATCAGAGTCGTCGTCCGAATATTCTTTAGGACTGGGCTGAACAGTCTCAATGACTGACTTGGAACTGTCTTCTGGTTTAGCTAGGACCTTATCGTCTTTCTTCTCAGGCGACTTTGTTTTTTCTTCAGGATAAAGAGGAGCCTTATCCCCACTACCTGTTACAGCAGTTACCAAAGATATTGGGTAGCTATCAGGCTTATCGTGAGGCTTGGTAATTCCAAACTCTTCATCACTTTCAGCGTCCGAATACTCTTTTAAAATAGGCTTCACTGACTCTCTTGGTGACTTTGTTTTGTCACCTAATGAGGTTGGGATCTTATCGTCTTTCAAGTTTGAAAGCGAATCAATCGGTATAACTATCTTGGTATCTTCTGTTGTTATACTTGTGCTTGCGAACATTATATTTTTTTGAATTGTTTTTGAACTTTCTTCTGCCTTGAAGGATATAACTTCTTTGGGCTTAGCGTCATGAATACTAGTGAAGGGTGTCACTAATGGAGTTGGCTCACTGAAAGACTTGTCTTGAGGCTTAGGAATCTCGATTTTGGCATCATTGTCCAAATATTCCTCTAGAGTGGGCTCAACAGTCTCAATGACTGACTTGAAACTGTCGTCTGGTTTAGCGAGGACCTTTTCGTCTTTCTTCTCAGGCGACTTTGGTTTTCCTTCAAAATAAATATGAGAATTGTCTCCACTACCTGTAACAGAGGTTACCAACGAAGTTTTGTTGCTAAACGAGTTGTTGGATTTGTCTGACATTGATTCACTGGAATGAATGTATACTGTTTTCTCCTCAGAAAAAAATTCTTTTGAAAAGTCTCCTGATTTGCTAAACATGTCACCATGACTATCGTTTGCCATTGGAAATTTGGTTATTTCTCTTTTTTCTATGCTCTTGACGATCTTTGTTGTATCAATAACAGATGAGTGCTCAATTTTTGATAAAAGGTTAAGCTTACTTTTCTTTTTCAAATTGTCCAGCTCCTCATCGCTTTCGCTATCAAGTGGTTCCTTACCTAAATAAGATTTCCCTTCAGATGGAAATTTATACTCCGAGCTATCAGTCATTGTAATTGGTTCAGAGGTCAAGATCGAATGTGTCTGAAGATCATCTAAATTATCCTGAGTGGGAAACTTGTGTTCAAAATCAAGATTTTGGTTATCTATTTGTGATGTCTTGTGCACAAGTTTATCTAGTTTTGATTCGAATTCACTAGATTCGTGGACTATTTTCTTTGTATCCGCAATGTCAGTTTTCGAAATGGAATGTAATCGTTCGAGGGTGTGTGAAATTTTTGGGAATTCTACGAATTCGGTGTCCATAATCGTTTCTATTGGAAATTCTTGTGTATCACAATCTGTTAAAAATCTATTTTGACCTTTTTCAATCCCTGCTACTTCTTCAGTTAAACTACTCTTGGCATTAAAATCCTGAATACTTTCCGTAATAGCGAATTTCCCTGACTCGCACTCTAGGAACTTGGCAGTTGTCGACTTTACATTTTGAATAGATGGTAAAGTTGTTGGGTCTTCTTTCCTTTCAAAGACCTTTGCCATATCTGAGATTGTGCGCTTTGAGCATTTTTTTTCGCATATGTCTTCTAGGTTTTCAGTACTGCTGCTCGCCTTGTTCATGGAAGAAACGGGCGACTGCACCTTTTGTTCTGGTATGCACTTAGAGCCCAAACCATCTAAAATCAGATCGGCGTCGCTTAAAATCTGCTGCTCTATGGACGAAACATCAACCTTGCGGTCTGGGGTTCCACGCTTGCGTGGACTAAAAGGTTTGGCCTCTAAGCTAGCCACGGGATATTTGCGTTCAATGTCCTGCACAACTTCCCTAACCTTCGGTGAAGCCTCAATGACATCCCTATCTTCTAAGTCTAAATGTTTCTCAATAGTTTCAGTAAAAATCCTTGCAGGTACCTGGTCTACTTGCCTATTTAAATCTATTACCTGTTCGGTTAAAGTCTTTTCCGTTTCACATAAGTCTTCAGCTACCACAAAGGACTTGCGTTTCTCACAAACTTTTTCACAAACCTCTTCATCAATCGCTTTAAGGTCAAGAGCCATGGCTTCGATGGGTGAAATTTTTAACACCTCAGAGGGTGGTTCACATTTGAATAACTTTTCCAGGGCCAAATCTGCTGGAGTAAGTATTTGCTTCTCTAGCTCAGCTACATTGGGCTCCTTTTCATCATCATGGGGCTTACGTTTTTGCACGGTAAACGGAATGGCCGACACCACTGTACTGCAGATTTTATCCTCCATACTCTGCACCACCTCTCGCACCACTGGCACATTGTCGCCTATATATTTGGGTGTCACAGTGGATGACTTGCCCATTGACTCCAATGACTCTGTGCTGCCACTGCTCTCCAAACGCATGATCTTGCGTCTCACATCACCACAGCCCATAATTTGTTCTAAATAATCCCTATCACTGGCAGTCTTCTCTGACTCTGTTCTTGCCTCTACATCTACTGGCGACTGCTCCTTCAGATCCTTCTGTTTTTGCTGATCTTGCCCAGGAATAGTCAAATCTACTTTGGTGCGATCTATTTGTGCTGTCATGGTCGTCGTTGTTGTCATCTTCGGTGTTTGACTACTTGTACTCATTTCTGTAAATGAGGTAGTGTCTTGTGAGTACAATTTCGGAATATCGGGGGGAGCTACCACACTATGGAGCAGCTTATCAGGTTCATCTGTTCTTGTAAAGGTTTCGGATTTTACATTATGAACACTGAAGTGCTCTGTTTGAGGCATTCCGGGGATGGCGAATTAGGGTTTGGTTAGGAGAGTAAAGTAGAGCAAAGTAGAAACAAGCAATATAAACACAATTAACACCAATTTCGATTAAACCATAGTTTCTTTATGGTGGATTAGTCTATGTACACAGTGCAATCAAGTTGCCGACATATATACATACCCTTTTTTAGAGGTTGGTATATATGGGTATATTCTTACTACAAGCTTTACGCCAAAAACCCAGCAGCAGGCACAAACATGCACTTAATGCTTATGCTTTAGTAATTAGTTGAGAAGCGCAATTAAAATTTCTGTTTCGCAATCAACAGATGCCAAGTTCCAGATGGAGCTCAGCTGAACCGACCCAACTTGAACTGGGATTGAGATAAGCTTAGCTTCATTCAGGCACATACGTTCAGATGCTGCATATGAGGTCGTGGATTATTGGGCCCATTTCTGCTTGTTTGGATGCTGCACAAGATTCGAGGCTTCGAGTGAAATTCACGAGCTGATCTTAGCGAATTACGTTTGCACATTTTTGATTTGCAAATATTTAAGCAATGTTTATGTTGATTATGAAATCAAAAAGCAAAACTAGCTAGTATTGCAAGATTTGGAGCAAGCCACGACATCATATGTCACATACTCGTATATTTAATGAGTTCTATAAACAACCAATTACATTTAAAAAGCGCGCTGGGTTGGTGGGTCTGGGTGCAAACAAATCAAATGTTGATTATACAGTGAGGCTAGTACAACTGTGGCTGTTATAAAATTCGCAAATAATGACAAAAGTACGAATACGAGTTGTATATGCTGCATAGGAATACTACAGTGAGATCTGGATATGACTCGACTTAACATTCAGGTACAGTACACTATTATCGATATATATTTATGATAAGTATATGCTTTTTCGTTAAGGTTTGATAAAGTTACGAAAAGCAACAGAACACATAATTATTTGCGAAAAACAAATTAAACATAAACATTGCAAACTGAAGGCCATGGTGGTTCACTGGAGTGTTCTTCGATAAATCCTCATATGGGGATCGAAAGCCGGCTGGAGGACGCCCAGCTCCTTGCTGATCCCAATATGGGCGAGTTTTCAATTTGTTTTTTTTTTTACAATTTCGGAAATCCAAAAGTATGCCAAAAGTGTTTATCTTAATGAAAAAAATCTTAGTAATTGCTAAACGAATGTTAATATATGTAGTATTGCATATTTGGCTTAGCTATAGATATATTCTATAGGCCGATTGAGTACGAGTATAGTAAACAAGGTTATTACATAGGTTAAACACAAATCGAATTATTTAAATTGTAGCTTGCAGTAGTTCATTGAAAAACATAAACTCAATTGCTTAAATATTTGTAATTGCAAACGTAATTATTATACCATGAGAGTTGAGAGGACAACAATGAGACAGACCTATCAGAAAACGATACCCATCATAGATGTATAAACATAGGACCTAAAGCTGTGGCAACTTTTCAAATTGATCGTAATTATACATGAGAACTTACCATTAAAATACAATAGTCTTAAAGTTACTTTAGAGTATAGTTAAGTTTATGTGAATAGTTTATTCCGTTTCGCATTGAATGAATCACAATCACAAATCAGCACTGATTTTTTAATATTTTTAAAATATCTTTGGTAATCAATATAACATGGAAGTAGTCCTCACGTTTACCAGAGTCTTGACTCTGTTTAAATTCTGAATCGCGCGTACTTGGGAAATTCAAATTCGTGACTAAATCTGCCCGAAATGCGCGACTATCGCTGTACTGCAAGAATGCCAGAGGCAAATTAAATTAAGTATACGCCACCGTTCGGGTTTTGCCCGCTTTTTGCCCCCTTGCCCTATGACATAACTGCGCTAGTGTCGGTTTTTCACCACCCTGCGGTGGATTGGATAGGCGACAGTTATATAAGGAACCACCGGAAAATACTATTAACTGTGGATGCCTTCCGAGGGCTAATGGACTAATAGGCTTTCTTCGGTCAACAGGAAAATATCCCCGATCGGATAGCGTTTCGGTAATAAGTGAAAGTTTTAACGAATATCGATCCGTGATTCGATCTATCTATTGAATGCCCCACTGACATTGACACCGCCGAATGTTATGCATTCACTGCGCAGAACGGCGCCAGACAAACAATTAGCCATGTTTCTGCGACCTTTCGTCAGTGTTAACGTAATTGGATTATCGGGAAACTTAGCTACATTTGCTTTGGTACAAGTATCTGCGTGATTTCGTGGCCATATTCATTCATTGCGTTTCAGTTTGGTGTTTGTTATCTTAGGATTGGGATATCCCTTTTAATTTTCGATTTATGGCACTCTTACTGCCGCACTTATAGACTTTTTTAATTAAGATACACACAGTAGCAGTTTGCCATTCGTTTCTTTTTACAAATACAATTAACTAACTAACGGTTTTTAGATCGCAATCGTTTAATGGTTGAATGGTACTTTGCATACAAAAAGCCTTTTGACTTAAATCAAAATGGAATGTAGAGGAACAGAGAGTAGTTGTAACGAAATGGGATAGAACGGAAAAATAGTTCAAGGAACACTACGGAATGTGGCAAAACTGTAAATGAAAAAATCCAAATTAAAAGAAGGGGTGTATAAAAATCATGATAACAGAGTTATATTCTTTTACCGAAAAAGGCAAACATAAAAAAATATATAAAGTAAGTTTACATAACAATTACAAATTGCATAGAAATAGAGCATAGGGGCAGCCACCCATTTCAGGACTTGCACTTACCAATTTTGGTAATGGCAGAAACGCGTTCGAGGGTCGACTCTGTAGTCGTATGCAGGGTGGTCACAGTGTCGGCCAGATAATCTATTTTCAAATTGTTGTATAGACTTAACGATTGGCTTAACCAACACCAACTTACCACGTTCCAAGCTGATCAGTTCCGGCTCTTCGTTCTGCTTGTCGGTTTTGTTGTCACTCGGTGTTGGTGGAGGAGTCTGGGAATGTGGGATTTCGCTCTCTGTATCGAACATTAAGGTTAGTTCAGATAATAACATGCAAGATTTCTGCACAACGTACCAATTTTCTTGAGCTCATCACTTATTTCAATTACTCCCACGCTCATCTTCTTGGTGATTGTTTCGCCCACCGATTTGCAGAACTCGGCATCGGTCAGTGACTTTCGTGGCTCCATGGATACTGGTGCAATGAGTCCCTGCTCCAACTTTGGATCTTCCAGCAGCATAGTGGCCTGCTTGCCGAAAGTGTCACTGTCATATTCGCCGGCCAGTTGCTGTGGCTCCTGGGTCACCACACTGGTGGTCAACTTGGGCGTGTGGAACGGCGAAGCTCCATCTCCAACTGGTGCTGCAGACTCAATGCCATCGATCAGCTTATCCGTTGGCCTAACAATGTCTGAAGGCAGTTGTGTCTGCTGTTCCATTAGCAGGAAGTCCTCTGTAAGTTGACGTTCATTCCATGGTTTTTGCTGTTTTGGTTGCTCCACTATTTGCTCGGCGGACTTGATCACCTCTTCTACCAGCGATTTGGCAGGCTCGGAGACCAGCTGGGTTTGTTGCTCCATGCTCAAGAAATCAGCGGTTAGTTGTCGCTCATCGAGAGGCTTCTTTTCAGTGGTCTTCACTGGCTCAGGCTCGATCAAAGGCTTTGTAGGTTCTTCGAAAACGATTTTCCTGGGTTCCACTACAGGTATCTTACTCGCCGGCGGTGAGGCCTTCACTGTAACAAATGATTCTGGTTCTGAAGCACTTGTGGATGTCAAACTGGATTCAAGGGGCTTCTCAGCAGCTTGTGGCATGCTCGGCAATTGGTTTTGTTGCTCCATGCTTAGAAAATCACGAGTGAGCTGGCGGGCATCGGCAGTGGTGATCTGCTCCTCGATTTTGTGGAATGTTTCGATGACTTCAGCAACCTTTTCAGCCACCTTATCCTCCTTGGGCTGAACTTGTGGAAGAGGTTTTTCCTCGATTTTAACTAGCTCTTCCATTTTGCTGGTTAGTTCCGAGGTCTTCTCAGATTTGGTGACCTTCTCCTCGATCTTGTGGAATGTCTCAAGCATTTCGGTTACCTTTTCCGCGACTGTCTCGGATTTGGCGATAATTTCAGACTGTTCAACGAGTTGATCTTTGCGCTGCTCACCCCCTAGTCCAGCGGTCATAATGGTGGCCGTAGAGGCCACAACGTCATCCAAGATTTTTGATTCCCGATCGACCTGCTTGTCCACAGATTTTCTCGGCTCCACCTTGGGTATCTTGCTGGCTGCTGGGGATGGCTTGGGCTCGGCCGCCAGTTTCTCACCCTGCAGGAAGTCTTGAGTGATCTTACGTGCATCTACTTCGCTGACCTTCTGAGCTTCGGTTGGCATTGTCTTGACTGGAATCTTTGAGATCGGCTTTTCGACCTTAGTCTCAGTGATCGATTCAGTTTCGGACTCAACTGTAGCACGTGGAGCTGCGGTGGGCTTCATCGAATCATCGCTAGGCTTCCGCGTGAACTTAGGTATCTGTGTCTTAGGCTCACCGCCATGGAAGTCATATTTGACCTTCTTGGCTTCGAACTCGGCAATGGTCTCCTCGATACTAGAGCTCTCGATAACATGGACAGTCTTCAATTGCTCCGCGGGCACGGCCTTTGCATCTTCCAGGTTCTTAATGGTCTCGCTAACCTTCGTGGAGTCGACAGAGGACTGTGTTGGCAGAACTGGAGTGGCTTCCACAGACTTGCTCTCAAAGGAGCTAATAATGTTTTCAACCTTCTTGCTGGCTATTTCGGTGACCTCGCTGATGACTTGTTGCACCTCCTTGACGGTTTCTTGCGGCACAGAAGCCAGGGGGCTGGTCTTCTCCTTAATCTCCTCAGCGAACTTCTCATGAACGGTTGCATTTGTGGAAGTAGCCGGCAGTTGGCTGCGCTTCTCCATCTCTAAGAAGTCTTCTGTGATGTCGCGAGCCTCTTGGCGGGTTATTGTCGTCACTCGGCTGAAGGTAACGCCATCCTTCTCCTTCTTCTCGGCAGCACTAATGTCCTGGACAATCTTGTCAGTCTGATCCGGAGACGATGGCTGGTCTTCCTCCTCTGAGCTACGCCCGGATGTCCTGAACTTGTGCGTAAGTTCCTTGTCGAACTCGCTCTTGCTTACCTCGGTTGAGTCCATCTTGCCCATCTTCATCTTAATGACTTGGTCGGGCACAGTTGCTGTCTTGATAATCACGTTATCGGCAGGCAGTTGCATCAGAATTTCGGACTCATGGTGAGCCTTCTTGTCCTCGATGAGACTCTTGCGCTTGATTTCGGTTATTTCGCGGGTGATCTCCTTCTTTTGAGTTGAGGCAGGAATGGATCGTTCCATGGACAGACGCTTGACAATCTTTTCCCGCCGTTCCGCTACTGTTCGCTTAGCAGCCTCCTCATCAGACTCCGATTCCTCGACTTCCTTCTCCTCGGCGGAGTATTTGACCTCTTCGCGTTCGTTAATTTGCTGGATTCGCTTGCCTGGGGGGAGAACTTAAAGAGTTATTCCAAACACGTTTGACATAATCGATTAAAAGGCTTCGAAGCAAGCGATATATATGGAGCTGTATAACTCATTGCAATGTATACTTACTTTCCCTGCGAACCAATTCCTCCACGGACTCCGAGTTCTTCATGAGGTCCGCCTCATCGAACTCACGCGAATGCGATAGTCGTCCACTTTTGCACTTCTTCATGATGTCGTCTCGTCCAATGTTTTTGAGTGCCGTTTCCAACGACAGAATATCGTAGTTTGGTTTGTCCTTATATAGGCGAATCATGCTCTGCGCCTGCCTGGCAATGCTATCTGTGTTGTGGTTGATGATCTCATCGATCTCCTCCCCATTGATGCCAATCTCCGGGGCCAGCTGAATCCAATCCTTACCCAACAGGTTGGATAGATCGACGATGCGGATGTCGCCGATGTAATGGTCATTTTGATGCTTGCTCAAGCTAAACATTGAGGTCCTGTAAGCGGAGGTGACGCGGTCCGAAAAGGCGGTTGTGGAATCGGGAATTACAGCCTCCGGAAGAACGATGTTCAGGATGCAGATGGGCTGTTGCGGTGGCTCGCCCTTGGCCACCTTCGGTTCCTTCATGAACAAAGTGCGTCCAACAATGTCAGCATGCTGATCCTTGACTCGTACAGTGAACGGTAGGCGGTTCTCTCGGAAGGCCTTGAATTGCACCTGCAGCTGGTCGCCCGATTTGGTCACTGGAACCAGATTGCCAGCCATTTCGATGTACTGCGGCTTGCCCTCGAGGACCTCGACATCACGACTCTTGGCCACTTCCGTGTAGAGCTCGTGCTTCTCCAGGGTTTTATCCTCACGATCGTCGGTCATGCAAAAGACACGGAGTCTAGCCTCGAATGGCTCTATCTTCTTGGCGAATACCACAAACTTGGCAATGAACGGCACATGTATGACTTCCCTGTGTTCAAAGATTTAGAATTTAGAATGGAAATACTTGTGGTTCAGGCCAACCACTCACTTGTACAGTTCAGTGGCCATTTTGGTGGCATCCGAAATGTTGCGGCAATCCATCAGCCAGAAACGAGCTGATACTGTGGTTGTAAAGGAGACACAGTCGTTGACAAATGTCAAGGGCGTGGAACCGGTGACATCCTCCCATTGAGCACGAGATGGTCCGCCTGGCGATGGATTAGTTAGATGGAAAACGGAATCGTTCAATTGCAGGTCTAACGGCTTGGAAAATGGGCTTTACGCATAGACTACATATGTATATGTAAAAACTCTTGAAAATCTCTACTGTTGTCTCATTAGCAGATAAATATTGAATTAATTCCAAAAATTGTTGAACTAATTTCTCAAACGAAACCATAAACTCAACACAAAAACGTTTTTCAGAGAGAATTACGATTGTGTGTGTTAATTACAAAGCAATTAGATGGAATAGGAGTAGTATTGAAAATTATTATTGTATATAGTAATATGGTATAGTATTAAATTCGTATTTAGCGATAAGTATTAGATATATTTAGTATCTTATGGTTATCTATGGCATGGCATGAGTGTATGACATAAGTGGAGTCTGTTGAATGTCAAAAGAAGAGTGTAGTGTGGGGTGTGGGGTGTGGGGTGTGTGAGTTTATGAGGCACTTTGATTTCAAGCATATATTTGGTTAATTTGGTAGGGCTGTAGCATTTACAGAGGTACGAGTACTAGGGTACTTGTGGCGCTTACGTTGAAGCCGTTTCGAAACAACATGCTTAACACTTTGGAAAAAACTAATTTTTGGCTTCTTTCGAATGGAAAATAAGTGAGCGTGTCAAGTGTTACTTGTTGTAAATGTGTTCAAATCAACAAAAGATCCAACGAAATGGAATCAAATCAATATACAAATTATAGAAAACCAAACGTAATCAAATAGGAATGTATAAAAGAATCGTCAACTTATTGATATTTATTTTATATGTTTATATTTGTATGGTACATTAACAAAACACCGCTTGTTATACGATATTATTGAGCTTGCCACAGCGATCGCTTGACTTTAGTTACTTTCTCAATAGTTGACACTTATTCGGTTTCAGAAAAGTTCTCTTTGGTGCCACAAACAGTAGAAATTCGAAATTGATCATTCTTAATTATTTGATTTTTCTTCTTAAAACAAGAAACAATGTACATAATAGTTCTGCTTTCTTTGAAACGAAATAATATCAACCAACACAAACTGTTAACTGTTCAATAAACAACGGATAAACAATCTACAATCAGGTGCACGGCATTCCAACCGAAAATAACATATTAACCAAAATGTAAACGTAAAGCTTCAGAACCTTAACAAGTATGATATGTTAGAATGGAATAAGGATAAGATTCCAATCGGTAACTGAATAAATCAAATTATTCTGGCACGATCTGGTGGCCTTGCTTTAAGTACGGTTTCAATGGCCCAAAGAGCAACTTTAGTTGGTTTAGTTTAGTTTAGCTTATAAAACCTACAAACTCTTTAATGAAATTGTGCAGTTTAGTTATATATTTGGCAACAATCCGCGTGCAGTCAGAAAATCGCTTGAGTAATTCATATTATTGTATGTTAGAGGGAGAGAGGTTAGACAGAGAGAAAGAGAAGGCGGCAAAGACGTTTGCATGACAAGCTTAAGGTTCGAAAAAGTAAATTGGAAAGTTTGCTTACTTCAAAAACTAAGCCGCTTTGAGCTGAAAGCGTTTTCTTGGCTAAGAGAACATTGCCGATCGAGTGGGGTCTTGAATAGGCCCCACCAAACAGAAAGTTTACCCTGAGCATCTGGTATATTAAACCCAAAGACGCAGTGCAACCCGTAATTTAAGCGAATAACTCAACGAAACTCAGGAAATAAATGGGGGCAACATAAAACGAAGAAATCAATGAAACGGAGTAAAAACCAAGGATTTAAGGCATAGAAGTTGAAAAATAAATTGTTTGAAATATTTGCAATAGTTTCTTAACAAGAGAATTTATCATAAATAAAATATGCAGAATTTTCAAATTTTCCTTTGTCAAATTTGCTTCTTGGATTTGATTGTATGCCTCATATTGCAACACAATAATATTGCTATTCTTAAATTTTTATTTGGTTTTTTTTGGCATAGAACGAAACAACTAAATATGAACAAATAACGATTTTATTTTGTAAACAGTTTCAATTTGAAACTTCATACATGTTTGTGAATTTCTGAATTTTTGTATTATTTATTTTAGTATTTGTGACATTTGAGTCAGTTTTAGTTACCTTTTAGAGACCTTTTCCGAAACACACCTTCAATGGATTGAGAAAACAGAACGGAATGCGTGCACACGTATGCAATGACGCATTAGTACGAAATTATAGAACAATTAAATAGGTTTTCAATCAAGAATTGAATCGAAGTTTGTTTTGTTTGGGTTTGTTTTTGCTCAACACGAAATCGAAATTGAAATACATATCGAAATCATCGAAAATCATCAGAACGAACTCAAGGGATACAAAAAACGCAAATCGAACAAAGGGTAACAGAACGAACACCGTTTGGCACAATGAAGAGACACACTGAATATGACACTGATCTGGGTTGGGATCGAGCTGAAGTTCGAGATATAGGTGTGGAGTATCTGCATCTGTTTCTGTAGCTGTATCTTTTTCTGTTTCTGTTTCTGTATGTATCTGTGTGGGTGTCATTGATGGATGAGCGCATCAAAGGTGGCGAATGGTGGTGAATGCTCTACAACTGTCTAGATTCCAAAGAGGATACGATTACGATACGATACGATACGATGCGGGCTACTGGCGGAACAACCCGTTCGAACAACTTATGTTTACGCATCTACAACACAGACACAAGCACAATGTTTCAGTTTGAATCGGATGGGACCTACAAACGAATGTTTCTCAATTCAATCTCATTCTCATAATGGTTTATCAAATAAATTTAATTCGGGAGTGCTCCCAGAGTCATTTTTCTTGGATTTAGTAGGCAATTTCCACTGTACAGGTTTGGATAGTATATATGGCATGTATGGTAAATATAAAGTACTACGGTTTAGCACATGAGATACTTGTATTCTAAATGTTATAGACAACCAAAACAAATAACGAAAGCACTTTACTAAACTCAACTCAACGAAAGCATAAGATATAGTTACACTCAAGAAATCATAAACAGGAATGAAGTAAACGAAGGCCTGAGACAGAGTTATATATAGAGAGATAGAGAGAGAGAGAGAGAGATAGGATTGTGGAAGATATCGGGGGTTTCGAGGAGGATCATTAATACTCAAAAAACATCAACTAACGTAATGGAAATGTAAGTGGATATACTTCGTAATAGTCGTAATGGTAATTGGTAATCGGTAATGGGTAATAATAACTGCTTGGATCACATCGTACAAACAACACAAAAGACCGGCTCTTAGCTGGCGGATCGGTAATGGATCGGCTTCAACTTACCTGTAATGGAGCATAGCAGACGCAGGGTGGGCGTATTGCCCGAGTACTGGTTGATCATACCCTGGCTGTGAGCCTTGGGGGCGGGCATGCTGAGTGTGATGGCCTTGTGGAATTTACGGCGACGCGGCTCGACCGTAACAATTGGGGATACGGCCACGCCGCGACCCAATAGCTTCGCCGTGAGATCGGGATCGACCGGTTGGGCCTAGAACGAGTGTAACGGATTCGATTGGCACTATAGACAAAAATCGATTTCGATCGGCCACGCTTATACTGGCATGAGATGAACGTAAAAGTAGTAACTTAATGAAAACTGACAAAAGAAAATGTGGTATACGAAATATGCGCTTTCTGTCTGTCGTAAGGCAACGAATAAAATAAATAATATGAAATGAGTCTTTTGGGCTAAATGGTGAACATTATCAATTCGATTCGACACATTGGGTTTTAGTTTTTTTGGTTTTTGTACAATGCTTTTAGGGTGTTTATGCATATTGTTTTCATGGTTGTTGTTTGTATTGAGCAATTGCATGTTTTAGTTAAATTACAGCATAAGTTAACTACAAACGATAACAATGTTCGAGCCCATTTATGTCCCAATAAATTTAGTTATCAAAAAAACTCTGTCTACAACTGAAGGGCTAGAAAGGAAATTGATAAACTTTATACAATGTACAGAACGAAAGGAAATAATATCATTGAAAATGTTGAGATTTACAAATATCAGTTAAATGCAAATAAAACGTGCGAGAATTTAAACTCATGAGTGGGGCCATTATAAAATCGTTTTTTGCTTACGGCATGGCTAAAATGTTACAACTTCGTTAGGCACTTCAAACCGGACCCAATTGTAACTCTCTAAGTATTTTTACCTCTTTATTCTTTTTTTGAAAAAGCAATTGAATGAAAAGTAATCAAATGAAACGTAATTAAAACATTTTCATTGGCATAAAGTTTTTGTCGAACTAAATTTATTGGGTAGTACTGCATTTCAGAAAACTTGTTGGTATAATCTTATGCATAAGTAGATAATAATCATAAATAATGTATGAATAGCTAGGAGTAGTTAGCATATAAGTAAATGTATCATAATATTCCATATATGTATTTCATATGTCTTATCAACTTGGACAATTTTTTCTTGCTCTTTTGCTATTAATAAGCCAGCCGAAAATCTGCAATCTGACAGACTTGGCTTGATCCATGATCAAATTCAATCGGTTCATATATAATTGCATTATTGTATGTCACTGTTTTGCAAAGCATTCGTGATTAGGATAGCATGAGGATACCGATTCCACAATGGCTCCATTAGCTTAGTGCCGCAAAGTTATCAAAGTGTGTCTCAATATAATCAAACAAAGTGCACATATTTCATACGAGTAATAACATTTGGAAACATTACCTCCAAAGATCGGTTACAAGGGCTTTAGTTTGGGAAATTGCTACCAATATGACCACTATAATCGAACTTTGGTGATTTAGCTCTACCATAATTCACTACACAGGATTTAGGGCGGGTTAACATAGATGGTTACAGTAACTGGATATAGGAGTACTGGTTATAAATGCTCATTTTCATTTTGGAAAACCTTTTTTTCGCATTATTTTTTGATAATATTTTCGGGGAAGTTGCAGATTAAATGCTCGAGTATATATGCTGACCGATAACGTAATTGTTTTAGATTTTTACTTTTTGCTTAATGACTAACTGCCCCGCTTGATTTACCAGATGAGCGAGAAGCGCTTCTTCTTGGGCACATGATTGACGCTTATTTTGCGCAATTTCTCAGGCGCAACGCCCTTGCGCGGTTTAAAGAGGTTTACCTGTAAGCCAACTTTGATCTTCTTGGTGAGGGCTCCCTGTGGGAAGACGGCCTGCACCTGCGGCACCACGGTGCTGGACACCATGCCGCCCTCCGGTCCAATGGCATGGACCTCCTGACGTATGCGTGATACGACGGCGAAATACTGAGGGAAGTCGTAGGTGACGAATCGGCAGACATGGTTGCCAGCCTGCTCCTCTAGTTGGGCAATCTCTGTAGCAAAAGGGTACGGGTTATAGACCACGTGCGCATCCAATAAACCACATTCTCACTCACCCTCTGGCTCAAAGCACTGCTGCAGGACATCATGTATGATCTCCTCGGAGTTATCGATGGTGTGCTCCCGCCATGTTTCTCCATTGTCTGATCGCAGTATGATGATCTCGCGCTCCTTGCCACGCAGCGAGGCAAAGTGCGGCACCTCCATGACCACTGGCCCAATGAACTTGGTGGAGCAGGGGCCCAGTTCCAGCACACGACTGGCCAAAGCCTCGCCCTCCATCAACTGGGGCGGATGCATGGTGCGCTGCGGCTTCACATAGCGACAGGTTACCCTGGTTGGCTGGCAGGTGGACCTCGAGGGGATGATCATGCGGACGCCACTGTGCCGACAGCCGCGCATCGCTCCTCCACGGGCGTCCACCAGGAAGGACACCAAGAAGCTCTTCCAGCTCAACTTGCGACTGCAAAGTAATCCAGAATTAGTTGGAGCATCCATATAGATTAAACAATATGTAGTTATTGGAATCAACGAAAAGTTAAATGTTATGCACATATACAGGGGAACTAAGAAACTCACCCCACATGCGGCGGCTCATCATGACCAGAGCCATTGGCTATGTAAACTCCATCCACGGTGGCCTTGGGCGAACTGCCGTACACCTGGCTCTTGTGGGGACTGATCACCTCCTCGCCAATGGTGGGCGGAACTCCAGAGGCGTACTCGGTGCTCTGGGTCATCCGGTTGGAGTCCATGCGCTCGTCACGGGTCACATCGATGGGCAGCGAGTCGTCGCCTAGGGATTTCATTTCATCAACGGTCAAATAGCGGTATGGTTGATCTGATAGCATATTGTCTTCGCCTAGAGTTTTGATTCGATTTCGATGCGTTTCGAGGGCATTCCGCAGCATTTGCATTTTGTTTAAGCACAAGACAGTCCAATTGGCCATATAGCGTTGTAGTTGTTGTTCATATTATTATTTGTTGTTTGGTGTCATTTGGTTGTTGTTGTTGTTGTTAAAGTGTTGGAGTTGTTGTTGGTTGGTTGGTATTTGTTGAATTGCAGATGAGAGCGCGGTGCATTGAAAGTAGAAGAATGCAAATGAGTTTGATTTTAGTTACAAAATTTCGTTAGTCTTACATGCTTTACTTTATAATCGGTACAATAGATATATGTATATATAAGGGTGATATAAAGCTAGCATGACTATTATATAGGAGCATATTACATGGATACGATAATAGTGATGGATAGATACAGACACAGTAGAATACACTTTTTCATGCCGCGATTAAAAGCGATTTAAATTTTTGTCCTTTTTAGCCCAAAGTCTGACAACCAAGTCACAGATTCCCAAAACAGATTGAAAACCCATTTCTGTTTCAAAAGTTGACAAAAATATAAATCTATTGCCTTTGCCCAATTACAACGTCAAGAAATAGTGTACATTTATACATTTCAGCCTCTTCAAGTGCCATGAGTTTGTCAAACTTTTTATAGAGAATTTATCAAGCCAATCGTGATCCAATCGCAGCCAATTAGTGCACTTGATAACGGCCAGCACTTAAGATACGAATACGAATACGAGTATACAGGTATACGGATACTGATAGGGGACTTCCAAGTGGCCCTGGGCACTTACTGGAGACGTAGTGCTTGTCGCCCTGGTAGTACGGCAGATAGATCGGGCCAAAGCCGTACTCGTAGCCAGCGTCCAGTTGCCAGTTAGTGTCACCTGACACACGCACATGAAAGAGCGGGGATTCACTTAGGACTAGCGTAAACTATGTGACTATGGATTGTGCTCAGTGTCTGGTGTGCTGGCTGACTAGCTGGGCAGTGATCTTGTGACCTTGTGGCTTATGGTTACGGGTTAAGTGGATGCAAATAGGTATACGTACCGCCCTCTTCCTCGGAGTCGGACATGAAGGACTCGTGCATGGCCTCGGGAGCCACCACGCGGTACTTCTCCTCGCTTTGGCCCGGAGCAGCAGCTGCCTCATCCTCCTTAGTGATCGTTTTCAACGAGTCCAGCACACTTATGTAACCCAGTTTGCGGGCAATGTGCAACGGCGTCTGTCCATTGACCGTTTGGGCATTGGCATTGGCCTTGTGCTCCAGCAGGAGATTCACAATGTGACAATGGCCCTGCTGGGCAGTCTGATGGAGCGGAGTGTAGCCAATCGAGGTGGCCGCATCCACATTTGCGCCATTCTGCAGCAAGAAACGCACCATGTTGGCCTGGCCAAAATGGGAGGCCACATGCAAGGGAGTATAGCCTGCCTTGGTGGCCATATCGATATTGGCGCCGTTCTTCTCCAGAATCTCGGCCACGTTCACATTGTCCTCCTGGGCACACAGATGCATGGGTGTTAGGCCATTCTTGGCCGGATGATTGACGGCGGCCTTGTGCTCGATCAGCAGATTGGAGATCTCGGCATGACCCTCCTGGCTGCTCAAATGGAGTGGAGTAAAGCCGGCCTTGCTCTCGGCATTGGCCAAAGCGCCATATTCCAATAGAGTGGTAGCTATGTCCATCTGGTTCTTTCTTGCGGCAATATGCAGCGGGGTATGTCCATTCTTGGCCGTGGCATGTGGACTGGCTCCCTTCTCCAGCAGCAAGAGGGCAACCTGCTGGTTATTGTAGTGGCAAGCCACATGCAAGGGAGTGACACCGTTCTTGCCCTGCGCATCCACATCCGCCTCCTTTTGGAGCAGCAACTGGGCCACCTTAATGTGTCCATATTTGGCCGTCAAGTGAAGTGGCGTGAATCCCTTCTTGGTGGCGGCGTCCAAGGCGGCGCCGTTCTCAATTAGCACAGCGGCCACCTAAAGAAAGTTATAAAAAGTCACATAAATACTATAATATTCCCTCAAGGCACAAGACTATGGGCCAAAAAGCAGTTTTCCAAAATGGTTCTCAAAAAATCATAATACCAAAATACATAAAAAAAGGAGTTGCAACATTTATTTGAAAACAAAACGGCCAAAAGAGACAACAACACAAGAGTTAAAAAAAACAACTCATAATACCGATTCAAGTACAAAACTCAAAAATCAATGTGAAAAACTTAAAATCAAATGAAAAACTCCTGATGGCGTATCCAAAACAGTTGCATCAGGTAAACGGTGTCGATGTGGTCGGTGATCTTTTTCGCAATCAGATCTTTTACCTCATCCTGGCCCTCCTTGGCTGCGATGTGGAGTGCCGTGTACATGTCCTTGGTGGTAGCGTCCACCTGGGCGCCATGTTGCAGCAGAAGCATCACGATGTCCACATTTCCCAGACGCGATGCGATGTGCAGCGGCGTCTGTTGCTCCCGGGCACGTGCGTCCACCTGGGCGCCATTGCGCAGCAGGATGCGAATGATGTCGGTCTGGAATTGAACAGGTTGAACCACAAGGAGAGTTAGCTGTGTTCTTGCTGCAAAGTTGCCGCGTTCGTTTTGATCATGTGTCGTAGCCCTGTTATCTGATTACCCTTCAATTATTAACTCTTGACTCACCTGGTTGGCTCTGGCGGCCAGATGGAGCGGCGTTTCGCCGCGCACAGTGGGCACATCGGGACTGGCGTCGTGCTGCAGCAGATAGATGACAATGTTCATGCAGCCCATGAAGGCGGCCACATGGAGCGGAGTAAGTCCACTCTCTGTGGTGGCACTAATGCTGGCACCATGTCGCAAGAGCAGCTCCACCACCTTCAAGCGGTTCTTCTTGCACGCAATGTGCAGTGGTGTGAATCCATTCAAGGCCCGGGCATTGGCATCAGCATTTCGATCCAGTAGTAGCTTGGCCACCCTAACATGGCCGCAGTGCGCAGCCACATGAAGGGCAGTCAGGTAGTCCACTGTCACCTCATCGACGGGCGCACGATGGTACAACAGGATGCGGGCAGCATCCACATGCTCACCCTGGGCGGCCATATGGAGGGGTGCCAGACCATTCTTGGTCTTGGCAGAGATGGGTGCTCCTCGTTCGAGTAGCATGTCCACAACTTGCTCGTGACCGGAGCGAGCGGCGCAATGGAGCGGAGTGAGTCCGTCCCGGGTCTTTGCCTCGATGTTACCGCCCTTCTCCAGAAGCAGGGACACCATGTTGGTCTTGCCCCACTTGGCGGCCACATGCAGCGGACTGATGTTGTGCTTGGCCGAGTAGTTGACATCGGCGCCCTTCTGGATGAGCAGATTGGCGATGTTTTGGTTGCCATAATGGGAAGCAATGTGCAGCGGGGTGAAGCCCGACTTGGAAGTCACGTCCGGGTTGTGGTCATTCTGGAAGGCAGGTGAAGGATTTAAGTTAGATACACTTCGTTGAAGGGGAAGAAGGTGCTGAGTACATACATCGAGAAGCAGAGTCGCTGCCTTGACGTCGTCCTTTTTGGCGGCAATGTGCAGCGCTGGAAGTCTGACCTTTCCACGAGTATCGCTCTCGAGGAGCACAGCTACCACTTTGTCATGACCCTGCTGCATGGCCACCGCCAGCGGGGTGAAGCCATCCTCGGTGGCCAGACTCTGGTTGGCTCCGTTGGACAGAAGCAGACGCACCACGGCATCGTGGTTCTCCTGGGCGGCCATGTACAGTGGCGTGAATCCATTCTGGGATTGCACATTCACGGAGGCATTGTGCTCCAGCAGCAGCTTCACCACCTCCTCCTGTCCAGCCAATGAGGCGATGTGCAGGGCGGTGTTTCCCTTTTTGGTGGCACTGTCCACAATCGCTCCCCTACGAAGGAGTTCCGAGACGACGTGGATGTGGCCATCCTTGGAGGCCAGGTGCAGGGCATTCAAGCCATTCTAAAACAGAAGTCATTGAATTAGTTAGAAATCACTCTTGAAAAGCTATCTTCCCTAAGTTCTTACCGCATTGCTGGTGTTGATGTCAATGTTGTTCTTCAAATGCTCGAGCACTCGCTCCAGATTTCCGGCACGAGCGGCACGCAGAAAGGAAGTGTTTCCATCGCCCTAGAAAATAAAGTTTTAAAAAATTAGTTTTGGATAATTCCTCAATATACATTTCATCTGTAAGTAAGTTCGTCCTTACTTAATTCCTCTTTATTGCATAAGCTAAAACCACTATAATGCAAATGCCAAACTCACTCGGTAAAATATTGCGTTTAATTCGCACGGCTTGCAAATGAGGCAAAGGTCAACCAGAAGTAATGGCCTGACACCTTATCAACCGTAATGCAATATATCTTTGCCAAGTTTCCGTAGCTCCGGAAAACTTAACATGTACTTTTCGGTTAGTTGCGTGCTAGTTGCGTATTCATCACCTGCTGTGTGGGTGGCTAACAAGTAAAAAAGGTGGGTTGGAGTCCTTTTAAGTACGTTGCTAGGTTGCGCAACTCGAAGTTTGGTGTACTTTCAATAGTTTCAGTAGTGGAAAAGTTACAAATGGCTATTATAACGCACACCTGCTCGTTGCAAGTTCGATTTACAGGGGTCAAGGCGAGGGGTCACCAGCGTTTTTCCGGCTTTTGGTGCAGGTGTTCGTGTAATGCGCTCTAATGGCCAACGCCCACCCACTGAAAACCAAATGAAAAAAACCCACCCACTCGCCGGAGCTCAGCTGTCGATGGTGGTTTTTGTTTATGTTTTACTCCCCGCATTGCCATCGGGATTTTCGATATCGAAAGTGACGTCATGTCGCGTTTTCAAACTGCAACTGGAAGTCGGCAAATCGCACGACTTTTCGCACTGGAAGTGAGCGAAAAATCGCTGGAGAGTGACCGCAGCTCAGACACCCGGCAGACCCGCTTCCTGAGCATTAACTCCCCTCCACATCCACCCCATCCAATGCACCACCCACCCGAAAAACCATTCAGCCATCCACCCACCCACCGCCCCCATGGCAAACAAGGAAGTGTGTGAAGGATATACACAAGCGGCCAAAAAGGAAAACTCATTTCCCATGCCCTGGGCATACATACGAATTCAAAAGGATCTTGTTTGCACCGTCTACTTCCTGAAGTCTGTTTGCTTGGCTGCACACGCAAATATTATCAGCACAAATGTTTGATACTTCGCTTTTTGCTGGCCATTAAAAGCTATAATTATTGCAGGACATTCATGTGGTATACGTATTGTACCATTAAAGAATTATTGCGATTTTGTATTAGCAATACTTTATGCATTGTTGTGACAGTATATCAAGAGTCCCAATGTACACAATATTTTAGAAACTATAAGTATAAGAAACTATGGTAAAATAATGAATCATTTCTAATTTTGTTTCCAAGTATTTTAATTCTTAAAGTTATTTGTTTCTTTTTTGAAAAATGAGGTCATGTTGATAAGCAACGGATACTTTTTTCTGCCTGTAGGGCGAGGTGATTCCCAGACGAGTTCCGAAAGTTCAAAGGTTCTTGGGCTCGGCCTCGCTCCCCGTTTTCGTCATTGTATAACGAGGGGCAAATTGAGTGCTCGACCAAAGGAGTTTCGCCTTGAAGTGGGCTTTTTCTTTTTTTTTTTTTTGCTTTGAACTTGTGCGGCCAAGTTGGTACTTGGCAACAAGCTTCAGGCCTAATCGAAGTCCAAGTGGCTGTGCTTGGCAGGAGCAACAAACAATCTCTTGGTGCACCCGGATGAAAAAGTGAGTCATGTATTATGGATTTTTCCCCCATCTTGGCCCGAGTGTCGCATGTCATCATTGGGTTTAACCTAAATCTCGACTACCTTACTCTGCTGCCAGTAATACACGCACGCACCACACCCAGTTCCCATTAAAGAAGGACAGTGGTGGTGCCAGTGGTGGCTGTGGTGCCACTGAGAGTCACCATCTGGCTCAAATTGCCATTACAGTACAGTAGCGAGTTATTTTTGGATCATAATGGTTAAAATCAGAATTGCCTGCAACGCCCATACATTGAATGGGCTATTTTAATGCAGTGAAAAATCAATAAACTTGACTGACAGCTACAACAAAAGGGTTACTACCCTTAAGTGTCGCATAAAAAAGAGAGTTTTTTGCCATGCAACTGCGATATAGAGTTTTCACGAGACTTTTCCCCAAATTCGCTGCACTTTTTCAGCCAGACAACGAAAAATCGATAATCCGCAAAATGGACGCCAACATGGCTGCTCCCCAGAAACTCCACAGTGGCCCCGAAAAGTACACCCCACAATGCGAAAACCATGATGAAAATTTCATTTTACCTGAGCTCCATTTTCGGTGACCATTTTTTCACGATTGCCCGTGGGAAAATGCCCGTCTTGAATTGATTTCAGCGATTAATTGGTGTAGAGAAATTGTGTAAGCGGCGTATGTCGTCACTGCAGATTAGTCATATTTTTCACACGGCATGGAACTTTTCTTCACCGTTAGCTAATGTGGAAAACTCGCCCTGCTCGAAGATTTTTTGCTCGAGACCTTCTCCACTTTTTTTTCGCTGAATTATTAATGCACTCCTATCGATTTTTCCTTAGACTTTATGTAAGCTAAATGTACACGAGTGCATGAGTGTGCGAGAGGGTGTGTTCGTACAGGCGATCGATTCGGTTGTGTGCGTGTCAGTGTCAGTGTATGGGTGCGTGTGTGTGTGTGTCTGATTGGATTCCTGGCTGCTCTCACACAGTCCCTTCTAAAGTTCACGGTTCTCGGGGAGCAGTTTTCGGTTTTGCTGCCGTTTTCTTCGATGTTCAACTCCAGACTGGATGCGACAAGTCCTGCCCGAGTGGTTGAAACTTCAACTGGCAGGACTTCGAAGGACCTGCGCACTCGACCGTTCCAATTGGAAGGTCCACCCTTCGAATTCCAAGGGTAGTTCGCCCTCTGGAACCGGGACTTCGAATGGAAGTGCCACCGGAAGCAACAAAAAGGGGCAGGGCCCACAACCGAATAGTCTTCCCTCCATGCGACACGTGCCCTTTGTTATTGTTGACGTTTTCACATGTAGATGCTAGCACGTGTTTTAAAGGAAATCGAGACCTTTCGCCGTCCATTGTCAGCAAAATGAATGGTTTCAAATTAATTTATGAACAAATAGGGTTTATGCTTAAGCATGTATTTAGATCTAATCGCCACGTTTTAAGGAAATACGAAGAACAAGGACGAAGCCATCCCCATTTCTTTAAAATGTAAGTGGAACGAGTTTCTTATAAGAAAACTATCACATTTCACAACTTCCGTTTGTGCTTAGCATACCCCATACCTTGCCTTACCCCATATAGAATACCACTCCAATTAGAATGCTACCCAGCACATACCCACTAGCATGACAAATATTTACCCGAGCTGCGAACATCCTACTCAGGGTGTAGCTATAACTATCCTAACAAAGGCCACATTAATCTCCCCCTGCGCAATAAAATCCGAGGCATTTAATTTCACCGACTGTTTCAGTTAGCACATTAGACTAATTACCCAAGTACACAGCAAGAGGAACATGGAACATGTTGGTCCTACCCCTAGATTATCATCTCCCGACCCGGAACCCTGTTGACCGAGAGCAAAGAAAGGCTCGGCCGAGTGCACACAATCCACAGTTGGTTGACGGCTGATGGATGATGACTGGATGGTTTGAATGGATGGGCGCGTTTCCTTCCAGCTGGGGGATTAACTTCTGCGCAGACGCACCTCGCCACTGGATGTTGTTTACTTCCCGTTTCTTCGGCATTCTGCTAATTCGAAAATCACACCCCAAAACCCACCCTTTTGGCACCGCATTCAAAGGTCGAAAATCCCGATCGAATGAGTATGCATTCCCGGTCACGTTGTGCCAAGTAAGGCAGCGGCAGTGTCATTAATTCGGGTTCTTGGTTGGGAAACCCACCCCCTTCCGTTGAGGAAGAAACCCCCGCTGTCGTCCAAATCCACCCCTACAAGCGGTTGCATAAAATTGCATTTCAAATTGCATCGTGACCGGGACAAATTGTGCAGTAAATAGGGGAATGAGTGTGCGTGAATCACGTTGCAGGTAATTAAATGGGCTTAAAGGGTGGCAAGCCACTGGCAAGGTGCCATTCACATTTTGAATTTAATTAAAGAGCTTCCCTCCAACGCTTGGATAAACAATGGCCTGTTTGTTTTGCTTTCGACCAGCCAAAAGGGGTTTTCCGTTCGCACTTTAAAGACCCAAAATGCCTTCGAGTTGGTCATAGTTGGCTCAAAGCAAATGGCCTTTTCGCATGTTATATGGCCCTTTGGAAATGTTTGTACTCTTCCTAAGACTGTGCCCACTGTCATTTGTGTATGACTTCATTATTAATTCAAAGCCGTCTGCTGCTAGCAGGCAATTGATAGATTTTTAATTACATTTTCTTTTCTATGTCTATTTTCGATTGAAATAATCCCAAGGGAAGTGCGGCACGAGTTTGTTTTTTTACTTCTGTTTATTGCTAATTTCAAAGGAATCTTTCCAGTGAAATGGACCTAAAATTATTCAAACTCATCAAGTATGTATGCCGAGTATATCAAATTTTCCATATTTAGGCCAAAAGTCTTCAAGTAAACACGATTGTTTATAAACATCTATGATAAATATGCTTTTCAGCTTTCAGCCAAAGACTTTAATAATGATCATTCAATAAATGTTTACGTCAAAATTTTAGTAAGCATGCTAATTTTAAACAGTTCACTACTTTTAACTTGAAATGCATGTAAGCTGATTTGAGCCTCAGAGTATCCATACGTCGATTCTATGGAAAAGTTCCTGAAACCTCCCTGTATTTAAGTTAATATTTGTGCTAGCATCGATGTCGCGGGGGCTTGTCGCCAGCAATATGATATTTAAATGACCCTCCCCGCAGCACCTTAAAAATAAAAAACGGAGCACCCCGTGGCAGGAATGTTTTGGGGCAATGCCTTAAGTAAATTACCACCTAGATGAGCTGATTGCCCATAATTCTGACGACCCAAAAAAACGCAACGCAAATTGAGCACGCCAAAGTCGTCATATCGCGGTAAATGTGCTGCGGGGAATGGGAGCAGAAAATGGAAACATTTTCACCGCGTTCGGTTCACTGCACCCGAGGGACGAAATATGGCGAAAATATTTAAACGGCACACGCACAGAATTATAAAAAAAAGAAAGATATTTCCCGCACGATTCGCTGTATTTATAGGGCAACCCAAAACAGATGCTTTGTGGTCTTTGTTTTCGCTACTCGCTTTTTGCAGGGGAGCTCGCCTCTGCATTACATAAATTTAAATGAAAGGTTCCACCGAAACTTACGCCCAAACTCTGCAGCGATGGGAAGCGTTTCTTCAGCGTCTCCATTTGCCCAGATTAACCCCAGGTACTCAACCTTGTCGGGGGGCCAATAGATTGAAATATATACGCGTATATATCTAAATATTGTCTAGAGGGCCACTCGCGGCAGCCGCACCGTGCGATTTGAGTCGTTTTCTGAATTATTTTCGAATGCGCCTCGTCGAACTAGAGAACCAGAGACCCCAGAACACGGAACACAGAACACAGAACACATAGGAATATAATAGACCCCCTATGCCAATGTAAAGAGTGGCGTAAAGAGAACGTTTAGCTAAAACATTTGGCCAGTTGGCTGGCTATTTATAAAGGCCAAACAAGCCGAGATGATTGTGAGAAAGAGCTTTTTGGCTGATTGGCTGACGACCTCAGGACCGCCAGCGTCATAGGAGCCCCAAGATTTGATGGTGCGAAGATGCCAGGCGCCAGCAGGAGTTGTTAATGCCCCCGCAAGGACAACGGAAGCACACTGCCGATGACTCACTTGGCATTGGACACAGTCGGTCCAAGGATTACTATTGCGTCACTGGTGGGATGGCACTTGTGCTCCAAGATGTGGCCGCGATTATGGCCGAAAAGTTGTGATTCATTGTCACATTCTGGGATGATTCATAAGGGATCCAGTTGGCAGGAGGTTAACATGATTATACGTTGTTGTATCCGGAAATTTATGAATTCAACACGTAGTTAAGTGACATTAGGAGAGATGCTACAGCTTGAGGAAAAAGTGTAAGTCCTTTGAAATCAAATTGAATTGGAAACTTTAGTTACTTTATCTAGTTGATATGTGACCTTAACATGTACTTCAATATGTGCTTCATAGAAGATGAAAACCGCCAGGCCTATTTATAACCCAAAAGATACATGCCCAACATTGAATCGAAAGAGAAGTCGTTTAAAGTTTATGGATGGCAACCCACTCCTTAGCCAACTGGGCGCGACCTCTAACTTCGACCCTTGGAGCTCTGATCACGTGACTATCCATATTAAGGGGAACCAACCCATTCCCCAGATCCCCAATCCAATGATGTAACCCTGGGCAGGACCACTCACCGCACTCTGGTGTCCTGTGGGGCAGTGCTCGTGCTTGTTGGGATGGTGGTGTGTCTGTTGCTTGTGGCTGGCACCACCGTTTGCTCCATCATGGTGGAAGATCTGCTCGTGCTGATGCTGGAAGTACTCGTAGTGACCCACATGATCCACATGATGCTCTGGCGGCGGCGAATGTATCCTCGAGGGCGGACTGTGGTGTTGTCCCTTGGAGGCGTGGCCGGAAGTGGTGGTATGGTGCGCTGCCTGCTTCTGCGAATGGCCACCAGCTCCAGCATGATGGCCACCGCTGGTGGCATGATGACCATGTCCGTGGCCATGGTGGTGATTGTGGGTGGGCGGCGAGGGCATGTTGTGGCCACTGTGGGGCAGATGCGACGAGTGCTGCACACCCACCTGATGTCCGTGGTGGTGGGGCACATGACCTTGGGACGCCTCCATCAGCGTCGGCTGGATGTGGGTCACAAACTGGGCCATTTTGCCGCAACCTTCAACTACTGCTCCCTTTTTGTTGTGGTTTTTCTATTGCGCCTTGGACTTAGGTAACACTTGTTTAAAATTTCACTCCTCTATGAGGCGCGTGGTGGCACTTTTATATGTATCCCAAAAGTGGGTGTGGGTAACACGAGCAAAACACACACAGTACGGCTGACTTGCGGACGAGTTGTGGGCGACGGAGGATAGATTTGGGCTCGGACCGTGGACAACCTTCTCGCAGGAGCAATGTCAAATGACTGACTAGGAGCAGCTATCCCAGTTGGGCCTTAGACGCCACAGGACTCTTCACCCGCCATCGCACCACCCGAACCACTTCGGCTGCTGCTCGGCTGTGGGTTCGTCCTCGTCCTGGCGGAAGAGCTTTAACCGGACCCAGTTTTATGCGCCTGGCCTGGCTGATAAGAGATTCCACTCGCTCCAACGGCTGATTACGAATTTGGATGGCTACGGATGCTGATTTAATGATGTCTTCGTGCCGCGCCACGTAGTGCTCTGTTTTTTATAGCTGCCTGTCAACTGTGTCACGGACTTTCAATTCGTAGCACTGGAGATTTTTGGTGGGTTGGAGGCGGGGCTGCACTCTGTTATTTTTAACGCAGCCAGAGGAACATGTCTCGTCTATTTGTGTCAAGCGGGAAAGTATGCTCCGATTTTTAAGGACCTAACAGGTGGCAGCGAAGTCTAACGACTATGCACTACCCTGTCAATTTGAGTCATTTTATTTTGTGTGCTTTAAACCTGTTGTCTACATTGAATAGCAAAAAATCGAGTTTAAAAGTTAAAGCAATTAGTATTTTTTAGTTGTCTACCATAACATGAACTCATTTTTTCTTTGGTATTTGAGGACTGATTTGATTAACAATAATACATTTTATTTTAATCATAAGAGATTATTATATTGAACCGTGGCTGAACTAACCCAAATGTAGTATGT